CTACCAGGCAAGGAAGTGCGGCAGGGCAGCCCTTAGCTGCTGAGGTCCTGGTCGGAACAGGTACTGCCAACACGCCAGTGGCCTGAGCTGCTTACACTGGATCACTGTTGAGGAGCAGTAGGCCCTCACTCTTCCCTCTTGGCTCTAAGGACTCTCATGCTCCCAGTGAAGGAACTTTGACTCCTAGGATCAAGGAAACTTCCCAATCTGCCAAGTGACTTCAATGCTGCCTACAGATGGCCACCTGTTTTCCAAGAGCCAGAACGGAAAGTCTAAGGAGTCTACAATGTCAAGCAGAAGAGTGTCCCATTCTTGAAAAGGCTGGGGCTGACCCTGCTCCCTTCCACACACTGGAGTTCAGGCTAAGATAACCATCTGACCCTCAGCCAGCCACCCTACTGCTGCTGGGGAGTTGCTTTCCCCAGCAGGTCAAGGAGGAATTCACTAAAGAATAGGATAGGGGTATAGAGAGGAAGGGGAAACTAAAAAGAGGTTTCATTTCGGGTCCTTCTGGCTCTGAGCTCTAGCCCAGATTGAGAGCTGGAGATGGGATTTTAGCTAATCCCAATCCATCAGAGTTTCCCCTCGGTGCAGGCTACAGGAAAGGGGGCTAGCCTGCCCGGTTTTCTTGTTCACTTGGGCCTCAGAGGCCAGCAGCTGGAGTGCAGAGCCACCCAGATGGCCATGTGAGGCCTGCCGGCTGAGACCAGTGTATAACAGCTGGGCCCCAGACAGCAGGAGGTAGCAGCTGGGCTTTGGAGCTGGGGAAGAGTGCAGGCTGGGGGCTGGGGATGGATACAGGGGGGGGAGGCCAGTCCCACATCCGGCCAGGGAATTGGGTCCAGAGTTGCTGGGCATGCTAAACCGGCTGGCCCAGCCCTCCAACCAGGTCATTCATCTGTTGGAAGTCACAGAGGGTCTCAGATGGGACCCATGTGCCTCTGTCTGCCCTCTGCCACACCCTGCTCCTTCCCAGCATGGGAGACCAGTTCACCCTAGACCCTAGCTCTTCTTTTCTGACATGTTCCATCTTAACTCCTTCTTCCCAGACACTAGGGTCCCGCCTGCCTAGGTAAGGCCTGCAACTCCCAATAGTTAACTTTATGTTCATCTGCTTATCCTCCCCCACTCTATCCTTCTCTCCAGAACCTCAGAACCAAACCCTGAACCCCAATCCTGTTTTTTCTTTTGTTTTGCTTTTCGAGGTAGGGTTTCTCTGTAACTTTGGAGCCTGTCCTGGAACTAGCTCTTGTAGACCAGATTAGCCTTGAACTCACAGAGATCTGCCTGCCTCTGCCTCCCCGAGTGCTGGGATTAAAGGCGTGCGCCACCACTGCCCAGCTCCCAATCCTGTTCTTTAGGTATTGCTCTGAAAATGTGCAGGCCCCTGCTCCAGGGACTGTGATTTTTCCAGGCCCCCTTGCTACTGGGCACACTCTCAATCTGAGCTAGGCAGACACACCCACTAAGAGCTTGGATGGGAGCCAGGCAAGAACAGCAGGAGGAGCCATGCAGTACCCATCCCAATAAAGCAGTGGAGTAGTCAAGGCTGGGGAAGGGCACAGCCCTTGCCTAGTGTCTGATATGTAAGTCTGAGGGGCCAAAACTCTAACGTGACTTGTAACATTGTTCCAAGTCTGACTACCCAGAAAGGTGACTTGTAACATTGTTCCAAGTCTGACTGCTCCTCTAGTCCTCAAGCCTCCTATACCTAGTCCGTGAGATACCACCAACACTTGCCATGATAACTGTTTGTCATCACATGTTCACAAAGATGACAGTCAGAGTTCCCAGCTTCGTGCCTCGCTTGGTGCTCACAGTAAACCAGGTACTTTAGAGGTAAGGAATGGAGCTCAGAGACCCACAGGCCAGCAATGGTAAAGCCAGGCTCCAGATACAGAGGAAGCTCACATCCCCATCACCCCATTCCATTCCCAGCTGTGAAGGGAATTGTGGGGAAAACCAGCCTGTGTTATCCCAGCCAACATGCCCTCCTGGCTTCAGGCTTGGTTCAGCTTGTCATCAAAAGTGGTAGACTGTGCTTGTTTTGAGATAGGGTCTCCTATAGCTTAAACTGATATCAAACACTCTGTGTAACTGGGGCTGGCCTTGAACCCCTGATCCTCTCTCATCTACCTCCCAAGTAGTGATCTACACCACCATTCCAAACTATGGGATTTTTTAAGGCAAAATTCAAGCAACATGGATCTAATCTTTTTGAAGTGTCACAAAGCCACATCATTCAGTAGACCTACAATGAATGTGGCCATCACCACAGTTTCAGAACGTTTTTATCACTCCCCCAAAGATAAATCACACCTGTGAACAGTCACTCTGTAATTCCCTATTCTCCCAGTCTCCTGGTGGCCTCCAGTGAGGCTTTTGTCCCTGTGGAGTCTCCCATCCTGGGTATTTCATGTCAATGGAACCATACGGTATATGCCCTTTGTGTCTGGGTTATTTCATTCAGCATGGTGTTTTTAAAGACTGTAGCGTAGGTCAGAATTTTCTTTCTATAGCTGAAATGTTCAGCATCCCATTGTAGAGATAAGCCACACTGGTGGGCTTTTAAGCGGCTTCCACCTTTTAGCCCTTGAGAACTGTGCCGCTCTGACCACTGTGCCAGCTTTTGTCTGAACACCTGTTTCTAATTCTTTGGAGACTATACCTAGGAGCGGAACTGCTGGGTCATATGGTGAATTTGTGTTTGACTTATGGAGGAGTCACTCAATTGTCTTCTGTAGCAGCTGGACCAGTCTGTACCACCCTCTGCAGTCCATAGAGCTCCAGCTTCCTGCCCCCGCCAACTCTTGTTATTTTGCGTGTTATTGCTCAGATCCACTCAAGCTGCATGAAGCGGCATCCAGTCCAATACTGAAAAGTCTTCCATACAGTTGTGAGGATTACCGTGGCCTCTAGTTCAGGTAGAACTTGAGTTCTGGAGTGACTTCCCCACACTTACGGTATGGGAGACTCTGGTGCAGAAGACACACACAGTAGGCAGTAGGGGACTATAGAAGCTTATTTAAGCTAGGAGAAGGGCTGTCGTGGACACTGTAGATGGAGAAAGAGGGAAGATTGACAGCAAGGGCAGAGTTGTTACGGGGAGTTTTGGTTGGAACCCTCCTTTTGTTTCCGCTAATAGTGTTAAATAAACCAAACACAAACTCATTATGGTTCGATGTGCAGGCTAAATCACACTACGGCAAAGGTCAGAGAGTAGAATATGTGGGTCCGTGGCTTGTTCTGGAATTTCTTTGGCAAGCATAACCACCACCCCGCTGAGCACTTTCATGCATGGGCTCCTGTAATCCCACAACAACCCTCCAACGGAGGTACGGTCACTGCTTCGCTTTAAAGAATAGGAAACAGAGGCACAGAGAGAGGTCACAGGCATTGCCCAAAATCTTCCCATCAGGAAATGGCTTGGGGCCAGGACAGTGTGCAATCTAGTCCTGTGCATGCACTGTACAGCCATGCCTGGTGCAGCCTAATCCTGTGCAGTCATGCCTTGTACAGCCATAACCAATGTAGCCTATCCCCGTGCAGCCGTGCCCTGTGTGCAGGCATGCCCTGTACGGCCATGTCCTGTGCAACTTAGCTCTGTATAGCTATGCCCTGTGCAGCTTAGCCTGTGCAGTCATGCTCAGTGCAGCCTAGCCCTGGTGCAGCCTGGCCCTGTGTGCAGCCATGCCTTGCCTGCAGCCATGCCTCCCAGCTGGAAGTTAGCATTTGACTGCTGAGACTTGGATTAATGGGCTCCTTGACTGGAAATCTTCTAGTGCGGGTTCTTGCTCAATGCTTATTTCTACCCCGAGTCAGCCTTGGCTACTGAGGATAAGGGCTTAAAAGAACATCTCAGAACCATGGAACTGCTGCCCAGGGCCAGTCTCAAGCACAGACTATGCAACAATAGAGAGATAGCAAATGTGGGTTTCTTTTTCCTTCTTTCCTTTTTCGAGGCAGTTTGTTTGTGTAACCTTGACTGGCCTGTAACTAGCTCTGAAGATCAGGCTGGCCTTGAACTCACAGAGATCTGCTCCCAAGTGTTGAGATTAAAGGTATGCACTACCACCACCTGGCCCTCTTTTTTTTAAAAAAAAAAAAAACTTATTTTATTATTATTTGTATGTGTATGAGTGCTTTGCCTTCACGTATGTCTGTGCACCATGTGTGTGCCTGGTGCCCAAGGAGACCAGAGGAGAGGGCTTTGTATTCTCTGGAACTAGAGTTACAAACAGTTGTGAGCCACCATGTGGGTTCTGGAAATGGGACTTGGGTTCTTTGCAAGAGCAGCAAGTGCTCTTACCCGCTGGGCCATCTCTCCACCCCAAATGTGAATTTCTGAATGAGCAGAGCTTGGTGCGGTCTCTCAGTTCTCTGAATTCAGTTTCCATCTGGAAGCAGAACGCACATTTGCACCAGGTGCTTGTGAATGGACGCAGCCAGCGTCTGTGACTTCCAGCCAGCCTCATTTTGGGTTCTGCAGTTTACCCTTTCCTTTGGCTTCTCACCGTATCCTGGGATAGCTGGCCTACTGTATACCAAGGTATACTGGGAACTTGCTTTCTGCAGCTATCAGACAGGAAAACAATTGCAGGCTGGCCCTGCAGCCCTGGTGGCGTGGCGGCGTCTTCCCGGCTGCTCCCTAGATTCCTGCCTAGGAGGTGCAGCAGATACCCACTAGATGAAGCAGGCTTCTCCTGCCATGAATTAGAATGTGGGCAGCTGAAGCCCTGCCCGAGGTTTGGACCCGTGTCCTATAAGGCAGGTGTGTTTCCTGTTTCCAGAAAAAGCTGCCAGACTGCAGGCAGAAGGCAAAGGAAACCAAGCGGCTGGCTTGTGGCGCACCTAGGGCGGGTGTGTTTGGTTTTGTGCATCTAGTTTGACTGTTGCTATCATCATCACCAGTCCGGCTCCCCCAACTTTGATTATTTATCCATTTATTTAACATTAGAGGTTCACTGTGTCGCCATGGCTGGCTTAAAACCCGCAGCAATCTCCTTGCCTTCTGTGCACGCCACAGTTGGCTCCTGGTTTTGATTTCTGCCGGGAATCTCATTACCGCTGGTCACCTGAGCCTTGGGATGTGTAGAGGAGGTGGGCACAGTAGGTGAGATGACTTGGTAGGTGCAAGGAGATCTCCAAGCTAGCGATTTCTCGGATCCTCAGTCCTCTTCTCCAGTGGCGGCAGAGAGAGGTTCTTAAAGGTCTTCTTCATGGGGTGCAGCAGCAAGGGACTTTACCAAGGCCTACCAACCTCGTTAAGTCGCACCACTGCCTCTGACCTACATCTCCTAACATCTGCGGGCTCCGGCACCAGCACCGGATAGGGAGATTCTTCCGCGGGCTGAGTTCACACGCCCAATCTTTCCCGCAGGTCGACCCCGAAAAGCCGGGGCTTGGGCCCCACCTGTCCGCTGCTTGCAGAGGCCCCCCCTGCGCCGCTACTACCGGCCCCTCGGCGCGGAGCCCTGTGTCCGCCGCCGCTTTGATCCCGGGGGCCCCGCTGGATAAAAGTCTAGGGCGGCTCTGCGCCAGCGCCAGAGAGGGAGCGCAGCGCTGTCGGACGCACCAGCAGGATAGCGCAGCTCGAGCAACTACGAGGATCTACGGTGAGCGCAGGACTCCAGGCAGTGCGAAGCGTGCGGAGGGGACCCGAGTGCGAGTCTCCCAAGAATGCACTGGGCTTGGGCGCGGGAGGGAAGGCCCCGGCGGCTCCAGGTGAACGCTCGCACCCTGCGCCTTGGCTCGTCGGGCTCGGCAGCTGCGCAGCGGGCAGAGCGCCCCGCGATGCGGAAAGGCCTCTTCCTCCGGGCCGCCGGGCCGCTCCAAAGGGCGGGGGTAGCGGCGCCGGGCTGGCCGCGGAGAATGGAGCTGCCCCGGGCCAGCCCGGCCACGCTGCCCCCCACGGAGCCGGGCTGGGAGCGCCTCCGGCGGCCGCAACGGGTTAGTCCAGGCCCCTCCGTCAGGCTTGTGGTTTGGGAAGAAAAGGCTAAACCTCCGCCAAGAAAAGAGTGAGCGCAGCCCCCTCCCCCCTGCCGCGCCCGGGCGGCGGCGGCACTTCTAACGCGCGGGCACCCGGGCAGCCGCGGCCCCCGCAAACTACGCCCAGCTCGTCCCCCGCCGCTCATTGGCGCGGGCCCGAGCCAGCGCACCCAGACTCTGCGTTGCCCTCGGCCGGCTACGCGCGTAGCCCGAGCTGCGGAGACCGGTGGCTCCTGACTCCAGAGCCTCGACGCCGAGAGTCGGCCCCGCCGCCCAGGGCAGGAGCAACGCGCGGCAGCCGGGGCCAAGGAGCAGCAGTGGCCCGCGCGCCCCCTGGCCCGGCGCCCCAAGCCGCCGACTCCTTACAGCCGCCCGCTCTCCGCAGGTGGCCACAGGCCGGAGTGACATTGCCATGGGCGGAGAGGTGCGCGTGCTGCTACTGCTGGGCCTGCTGCACTGGGTTGGGGGCAGCGAGGGCAGGAAGACCTGGCGGCGCCGTGGCCAGCAGCCTCCCCAGCCGCCGCCCCCGCCGCCGCCCCCGCAGCGGGCTGAGGTGGCGCCGGGCCCCGGGCAGCCGGTGGAGAGCTTCCCGCTGGACTTCACGGCCGTGGAGGGCAACATGGACAGCTTTATGGCGCAAGTCAAGAGCCTAGCACAATCCCTGTACCCCTGCTCTGCGCAGCAGCTCAACGAGGATCTGCGCCTTCACCTCCTACTGAACACGTCGGTGACCTGCAATGACGGCAGCCCCGCCGGGTAAGGCCGGCGCTGGGCATGACCCCGGGAGGCCGTCGGCCCTGCTTGGCTGGCCCCGCCGGTGCCCCGTGCCTAGCTTGCCGCCCGTCCCATCGCTCGTGACGCCCGTATCCTCTGCCTCCCTGCGCGCGCACTAACGCGGAGACTGCGCTGGAGCCTCCCTATTTTCAATGGCAGATCTGGTCCCCAGAGGAAAGGGTTCCATTCGGGAGTCCAACGCTGTTGGCCCTGGGGAGGGCCTGGCTCGGTGCCTCCCAAAGTGGGGGAGGGGGCAGCTCTTGAAGCCCTGACCTGAGGCCAGCTCCGGTGCTGACCCCTTGGCCACCGTGCACACCCGCCTTTGTGCGCAGGTCCTCGGACAGAACTGCAGTCCTAGAGTGACCCGACTCCAGTAAAAAGAAACAACACTGAGGGACAGGAGGTTCCCGTCTCAGGGTTTCCCCTGTGCATACCAAATTGGTTCGGGACAGTCAGGAATCTGAGCACGGGAGCAAGGAGAGGGCCCAGGAAGGACCGAAGGCCCCAGGTGTAGCATTCACGCACGCACTCAGCTTTGGAGTAGATAGAGAACACAGGTGAAGCTGGGCGGTAGGAAGGGACTGTGGGTGCCCACGCGCTCAGTTGATCGATGTCATTCTGGGCCTTGATAGGAAGGCTGTGACACCGCCTCACAGGCTCCCCGCATCTCTCCGCTCTCCCCTACCCCTGCCGGTTTACAGGCCTCTAGCCCTTGCATTTCTCACTATGCAAACGCCACTGCGTTCCCGGGAGCGCCTCTCCTCAACTGTCATCCGCGCCAGGGTTAACACAGGTCCCTTGCGGGGCGGGCTGTGGGAATTTTCCACGGACCAGTCGGCCCTCCTTTTCCCCCCTCCTCACGATCGCCACCTCCGGGGAATCAGCCGGGTTCCACTAGTCTTTGCGTTCAGTTTGCGATTGGCCGCGGGCGCCCTCGTGCGGCTGCGGTGAGCTCCAGGCAACAGGTGGAATGACCCTTTCGGTACTGGACTTGGAAAGGGTCGAGGATTAGGGCTTTGGGGTGGAGGGTAGCGATCGGCGGTGGCTCAGGTATCCCTAACTGACTGCCTGCTCTGTGCGCCTTCCCTGCAGCTACTACTTGAAGGAGTCCAAGGGCAGTCGGCGGTGGTTACTCTTTCTGGAAGGTAAGTTTTAGGGGCTGAGGTGTGTGGTGCAGAGGGGGGCTCCCTCTGGACTCAGAACCGAGCCTAGTGCCTGTGCCTGCAGGCGGCTGGTATTGCTTCAACCGTGAGAACTGCGACTCCAGATACAGTACTATGCGGCGCCTCATGAGCTCCAAAGACTGGCCGCACACACGCACAGGTCAGCAACACAACTGGCCAGTCTGGAGGAAGTGGCGGAATAGTCAGATTCGGCCTCTAGGAAGGACCTGTTCACCCCTGGAACCCGATCCCAGGTCCCAGTTTTTGAAATTATAGTGAACTCATCCTTGCTTTTTGGTATGGTGACTCCTTGGGTCCAGCCATCCCCTCACCATTCCCTATCCATCCTAGCACCTCGGTTCAGACCAAGGCCCACCCTCTTCCCTGGTTGAGGCCATCAGGAAGGAAGTGCCCATCCCTGCCTTTCCCCTACCTCTGTTTCCCCAGGTACTGGGATTCTATCCTCCCAGCCAGAGGAGAACCCTCACTGGTGGAACGCCAATATGGTGTAAGAGGGCCTGGGTTTCCCTTGGTGGGGGTTCCTTCCTGGGAGTCTTTCCTATAGAGTCCTGTCCTGTGGGGTCCTTCTTAGAGCATGAGGGTTCATTCTTGGGGGGGTTGGCCTTTGCAGGGGGTCATATTTGGGGTAGTCTTTAGTGGAGGTCTTGGTTCTTCCTGGGGGCGATGGTCCTTTTCAGAGGATCCTTTTGGGGAGGTCTTTCCTAAGGGTCCTTCCTGTTTTAGGAGGCATCCTTTCTACTCTTCCTTCCTGGGATGATGATTTCTCTAGGGAGTTCCTTTCTTAGGGGGACCTTCCTGGGGAGGGGGTCCTTCCTGAGGGTCTTGTCCCGGGCAGCATTTTTCTTGGGGCCTTTCACGGTAACCGAGGGCCATGGCGGGCTTACCTGATCCCTGTTACAGCTTCATCCCCTACTGCTCCAGTGACGTTTGGAGTGGGGCTTCACCCAAGCCTGAGAAGAGTGAGTCCCTGGCTTCCCAGCCCCTTGAGACAGGGCAGGGTGGTGAAACTTCTGGGGAAACACAGACTTTCTCAAGCTTTTTGTAGCATGCCTTAGGGTTCCTGCTTGTCTGTGACTCACCTGGCCCCCGAGGGATCCCCAAGCAGGGCCTCGAGCCCTTGGTCCTCCCTCCTCAGTCTGCCCCATCCCTAGAGAGAGCCCAGACCCCTCTTCTTGCCTCCTGGAGTAGGAGACCTTGTCCTGTGTCCAGCTTCACCTAAAGCTACCCTTTGCCTTACAGATGAGTATGCCTTCATGGGCTCCCTCATCATCCAGGAGGTGGTGCGGGAGCTGCTGGGCAAGGGACTGAGTGGGGCAAAGGTGCTGCTGTTGGCTGGGAGCAGGTAAGCCGAATGCACCCAAGGGGCGAGGACTTTGCCTGGAGGGAGCAAGGGGCTGTTGCGGCCGCTATGGGACTTGGGTAGGGTGGTGTCTGGGTGGAGGAATCCGAACGGGAACTGTTGGCAGTCCTGGAATCTATCCTCAGAGCTTTGCTGACTCCGGCCTTGGCAGGCAGGAGCAGGGAGGTCGGCCTCATTTGGAGCACCTTAGAGGTCTGGGTTCAGAGTGTTTGCGCTGGAAACTGTTTAGAAAATGCTTCTGGACCCCCCCAAGGGTGTTGGGCTGCAGCTACCTAGGTGGTAGGTTAGTGGTCAGTTGTGTTCTGATGTCTCTTCTTGAGGACACGGTGTCAGGGTAGGCTGAGCTGACGCCTGCTGGTCAGTGACCGTATTCCATCAGGAACACAGAACGCTTGCCTGGGCCTGGTACACAGGACTTTGGCATCTTTTTCTTTGGATAGAGAAACTGATACAGGAAAAAAGAGGGGAAGGAGAGGCAGCTCTGTGTCCTGCCGACCTCAGCCGTGGGTCAGTGCTTAGAACTTACGGGTCCTCTGGCTGAAGACCGTGAGGGACAGAGGCACCCGAGTCTTGCAGACAGCTTGTCTGCAGTCAGGATGCTTTACTCAGAGGTAGACCATCCTCAGGACTAAAGCTGGGGCTGAGCCAGCTCTGGGTGGACAGCAAGCACCTCTCTCCAGCCACTTGGCCTCATGTCTGGCCTTCCCTCAGCGCTGGGGGCACCGGGGTGCTGTTGAATGTAGACCGTGTGGCCGAGCTGCTGGAGGAGTTGGGCTACCCGTCCATCCAGGTGCGGGGCCTGGCTGACTCAGGCTGGTTCCTAGACAACAAACAGTATCGCCGATCAGACTGCATCGATACTATCAACTGCGCACCCACAGAGGCCATCCGCCGTGGCATCAGGTGCCAGGGGTGTGGGTGGAGGGCAGCCCCCATGCCCAAACCCTCTCTCGTGCCTGGGGTGAGGAGTACCCTAGCATCACAGCCTACCCTATGATTGCGGTTGCAGGTACTGGAACGGCATAGTCCCAGAGCGCTGTCAGCGCCAGTTCAAGGAAGGCGAGGAATGGAATTGCTTCTTTGGCTACAAAGTATACCCGACTCTGCGCTGTGAGTGGCCAGTTCACTGAGGCCTTTGGGAAGGGGTGGGATATTCCAAATTATGCACCAGCCTGAAATGAAAGGGGTTAGACCACAGATCTTATGTTGTTTCACAAAAGTAGGCATGCTTACACCGAGGTGAACAGTTTTAGCTGGGACTGCCATGATTTTATCACCCAAGCAAACTGGCACCATTTGCAATGGCAACAGAGCCAAATTCAAATGCTTCCTTTCTGTATTTTGAGGTCACCAAACAGTTCCCCCAACCCCACTTTCCAAAGAATAGTGAGGTCCCATGCCAAGGGACAGCACCGTCAAATCTAAGTGAGAGAGACCCTGAGAGCCAGGCCACAGTCAAAGTGGGTTTTCAAGAATCCTTTGGGGGGCTGGAGAGATGGCTCAGAGGTTAAGAGCATTGCCTGCTCTTCCAAAGGTCCTGAGTTCAATTCCCAGCAACCACATGGTGGCTCACAACCATCTGTAATGGGGTCTGGTGCCCTCTTCTGGCCTGCAGGCATACACACAGAAAGAATATTGTATACATAATAAATAAACATTTAAAAAAAAAAAAAAGAATCCTTTGAAGGAGAATGGGCTTTAAAGAAGAATCGGGACTGAAGTGTAGCATGCTTCCCCAGCATGCTCAGGGCCTGGGGTTCTTCTCCTCCATATCAAACAAAGACCAGGAACTTGGACTGTGTGGAGCACAGCTGGTCAGTGAGCTTGCTAGGAGCAGAACCACAGCAGAGGCAGGCAGGCCAAACTGAGTCACATCTCCCCCCCCCCCCAGGTCCAGTGTTCGTGGTACAGTGGCTTTTCGACGAGGCCCAGCTGACCGTGGATAATGTACATCTCACGGGGCAGCCGGTTCAGGAGGGTCAGTGGCTATACATCCAGAATCTGGGCCGAGAACTGCGTGGCACACTCAAGGATGTGCAGTGAGTGTGTGCGAGGAATTTGGGCTGGGCGGTTTACGTGGTTCCTCCAAGCCATTTGACTTAAAAAAAAAAATAGGTCTTGAGGACAGGTGTGGTGGCACTTAGGAGACAGAGGCGGGTGAATTCCTGTGAGTTCAAGGCCAGTCTAGTCACGTAGTGAGACCCTGGATAGATAGATGGATAGATAGATAGATAGATAGATAGATAGATAGATAGATAGATAGATAGATAGAAAGAATGAATAGAAGGCTCCCACTGAGGTCATCAGGCATTGTGCTTGCCCAGCATGTACAAAGCCCTGGAATTAATCCCCAGGACCACAGATGTCACACATGGTGTAACCCCAGCATCTGAGAGATAGAAGGAAGAAGATAAGAAATCAAGGACATTTTTTGACTACGCGGCTAGTTTGAGCCTGGCCTGGACTACATGAGACCCAGCCTCTAGGAAAAAAAAAAGATTCATGTGTTCAAGATAGCCTCCTGCTACTGCCTAGCAGATTCTGGCAGGATGGGGTGTACCTGCATCAGGTTTTGGAGGCTTGAAGGGGAAGGGTCAGTGTGGATCATGTGGTCATCTGGCAAAGGGCAGGCCGTGGGACTCAAGCTGATTGTTTCCCTACCAGGGCCAGCTTTGCCCCCGCCTGCCTCTCACACGAGATCATCATCCGGAGGTCAGTGTCCCCTGGGTTTTAGGTGCTTGCGTGTGTAGTACTAACTCCATAGGCCTGTAGGCCCCTCCCAAACCCCTAGGCATCTTTCCACGAGCCCCTCAGAGCCCTCCAAAGCACACCAGTCATGCTGCAGAGTTGAAATGCAGCCCCCCAAAAAGACAGTGATGGCCTCAGTGAGCCCACCTGGGTTCTTTCTACAGCTACTGGACGGATGTCCAGGTGAAGGGGACCTCACTGCCCCGGGCACTGCACTGCTGGGATCGAAGCTTCCATGACAGCCATAAGGCCAGCAAAACCCCCATGAAGGGCTGCCCCTTCCACCTGGTAGACAGTTGCCCCTGGCCCCACTGCAATCCCTCCTGCCCTACCATCCGGGACCAGTTCACAGGGCAAGAGATGAACGTGGCGCAGTTCCTTATGCACATGGGCTTCGATGTGCAGACGGTGGCTCAGCAGCAGGGCATGGAGCCCAGCAAGCTGCTGGGGATGTTGAGTAGTGGGAACTAGACTGCTTGGAGCAAGAGGCAGCACAGAGGGGCTGCTCCACTTGCTGTCCCAGGGGAGCTTAGCTCTACATCCAAGCCCTTCTGCCACTCCCAGGACCCACCTGGGTGTGGACGCCTGACTGCCTGTATTCTCCCACTGCCTTCAGGAGGCCTGGCCAGAGGAGTGGTGTTCTCTGAGCCCTGCCACAACTTGGGAGACCCTTCCCACCCCACATCTGTTTCCCTAGCCCCCAGCCCAGTTTGGGGAGGGAGCCAGGGCAAAGCAAGCACTGGATTCCTGAGCCCATCAGCTCAGATGGTTCCTCCTAGCCCCCAGCTGATCATGCTCTTTTGTATTATTTTATAAAGTGACTTTTTTATTACTTTAATTTTTAAAAAATGGAAATTAAGAAATATATGATGGATGATATTGTTTTGTAACATATTTTTTCTTAATAATTAAATAAAAAAATAACAGAAGTTCACCCTGAGACTTTGATTATTGGAAAAGCCTTTCTACTCATTTTGATTGTGTTCCTAGGGCAGCATAGGACTGGAAGAGGGACTGGGGGAACCCCAATCTCTGATACATTCTTGGATGTTCGGCAGCCCCCACTTCACCTGTTTAACCCCCTTCCTAAGGCAGCCCCATTCATTCATTCATTCATTCATTCAGCAGAATGAATTCATTCAGTTCCTATTGTTGGTGATTACAACTCATCTTGATTTTTTTCTTTTCTTTTTCTTCTTTCATTCTTTTTTTTTTTTTTTTCTGTTTGAGACAGGGTCTCTACTATCTATGTAGCTCTGGCTGTCCTGGAACTCACAGAGACCATCCTGCCTCTGCCTTCCAAGTGTTGGGATTAAAGGCACGGGCCACCACACCAAACAAGTTTTTCATGTTTATGAGTGTTTCACCTGTACGGATGTGCACCATGTGCATGCCTGGTGCTCACAGAAGTCAGAAGAGAAGGCGCCAGGTGCCCTGGCATTGGTGGATGCTGGAAAGGTGACTCGGTTGGTAAAAATGCTGGCCATACAAACATGAGGACCAATCGGTCAGGATAGCCTGGTCTACAGAATGAATTCTAAGGCAGCTAGAACAACACAGAGAAACCCTGTTTCATAAAACAAAAACATGAAGACCAGGGTTTGATTCCTAGCACCCATGTAGGAAGCTGGATGTGGTGATACACGTATGTAGTCTGAGCTTGGGGAGGTGAAGACAAGTGGATGCCCTAAGTTGTTGGCCAGCAGCCAGCTTGACCTAATTGAGAGCCCCAGTTCCCATTGAGAGAGAGATCCTAACAGAGAGAGAGAGAGAGAGAGAGAGAGAGAGAGAGAAGAAAAACATCAACATTACAAGTGGTGGCACACACCTTTAATCCCAGAACGAAGGAGACAGGCAGGTGGATCTCTAAGTTTATAGCGAGCCTGGTTTACATAGTGAGCTCCACACCAGTCAAGGATTCGTACTGAGAACCTATCTCAAATAAACAAGCAAACAAAAAACAAAAAGAACATAACAAAACCACAGAAACCAAGATGGGGGCTGAAGAGATGACTCAGTGGCTCAAAGTGTATGCTGCTCTTTCCGAAGACCTGAGTTAGGTTCCCAGCACCCACCCTGGGTGACTGACAGACGCCTGTAACTTCAGGCTCAGTCGGTCCAATGCTTTCTCCTGGCCTCTGCAGGCACGCTTACCCACACGCGCACACACACTCACATAAAGATACACATACACAGCCAGGCAGCGGCGATGCAGGCCTTTAATCCCAGCACTCAGGAGGCAGGAGTAGTCAGATCTCCATGAGTTCAAGGCTAGTCTGGTTTACAAAGTGAGTTTCCGAACAATCAGGGATACGCAGATAAATCCTGTCTCAAGACAAAAACAAAGTGAACTGGAAAAATGCCTAGTGAGATCCCACACTAGAGCCTGGAGCGATGACTCAACAGTTAAGAGCCCTTGCTCCTCTTCCAGAGGACCAGTGTTGGGTTCCCTGCACCCACGTGGTTACTCAAAACTGCCAGTTTCAAAATCTGATTCCCTCTTCTCGCTTCCAAAGTGGCTGCATGCAAAAGGTACACATGAGCTGCGAGGTTGTCAACTTGACCACACCTGGAATTAGCTAAAACTCAAGTGGCTGGGTACACCTGGGAGGGAGTTTTTTCTTTTTCTTTTTCCCTTCCTTCCTTCCTTCCTTCCTTCCTTCCTTCCTTCCTTCCTTCCTTCCTTCCTTCCTTCCTTCTTTCTTTCTTCCTTCCTTGCTTTGGAGCCTGTCCTGGAACTTGCTCTATAGATCAGGCTGGCCTCAAACTCACAGAGATCTGCCTGTCTCTGCCTCCCGAGTTCTGGGATTAAAGTCATGCACCACCATCGCCCGGCTGGGAATTTGTTCTTAATGAAATCATTGTAAGTGGAAAGGTCCAATTTTAATCCAAATCCTTTGAGGTGGGAAGAGCCACCTTCCATCTGGGCCACACCTTCTGGTGGAAGCCTCTGTAAAGGATTTGGAGGAAGGAAACTCATTCTCTCTGCCTGTTTACCCTCACTCTTCACTGGCAAGTAGGCTTGGAGATCATTTCTTCAGGATTCTGGTGTAGCCTGGCAGTGGTGGCACACACCTCTAATCCTAGCACTCGGGAGAAAGAGGCAGGCGGATCTCTGTGAGTTTGAGGCCAGCCTGGTCTACAAGAGTTAGTTCCAGGACAGCTAGGACTGTTACACAGAGAAACCCTGTGGATTCTGGTGTATACTGAAGACCAGCAGAGACATCCAGCCTGGATTCTTAGACTTTCTGTTGGTGGACAGCCTTTGTTGAGCTAGCTGGATCCCAGTCTGTAAGATACTCTAATAAATAAATTCCATATAAATATATTTATATATATATTTATATATAAAAAATTTAAAATTTTAAAAAAGGCCTGAGCTAGGCGGTGGTGGCGCATGCCTTTAATCCTAGCACTCGGGAGGCAGAGACAGGTGAATCTCTGTGTTCGAGGCCAGCCTGGTCTACAAAAGCTAGTTCCAGGACAGGCTCCAAAGCTACAGAGAAACCCTGTCTCGAAAAACCAAAAATAAAATAAAAAAGGCCTGAAGACCTAGGTGAACACTGCATCTCAGTAACACAATGGTGTGTTTAGAAATCTCACAAACAAGCACCTTAGATCTGGTGATCAGTGTGTTTCCATGATGCTAAGAATCCTGCAAAGCTGTTGGGTAATAGGTGGATGCATAAATAGGATTACCCCGTTTATCCTCATGGCTGACCTCCCTGTGATCCAGATATTCAGTCATGTATGGTGTTCCCTCCTTGGTCTTCCTACCAGAGGCTTTTAGCTTGGAGTTGAATCATGGGGAAACATTCCTACGGCACACACTGGAGGACACTCCAACAAACCCTTGGCTTGGACTCTTGAAAACACCGGTGTGTCTATAACAGGGCCCCAGACCTCTGTAGGCCCCCAGATCTTTGCACTCCACCATGGAAGTGTTTTCTGTGCTGTAAAACTCAGCACATAGACAACACCACCTGCCAAAAATGAAAACCAAGACCTAATCCATCAAAGCCACAGTTCTGGGAAAGTCTCTAAATATACTAGCCTTGCTTCTCGGCTTCCCTAGCTCCGATTCTGGCTAACTTTTCTTGGTAACTGAACATGTCGACCCAGGACATGGTTTTTGTGCTTAAAAGCTCACACTGAGGAGGGTTCAGGGCTACTCTGGAGTCCTGAATACCCAGTGTAGTTGCTGTCTGGCTAATAAAGACTTGCTATTGGCTTAAGCCCGTGTCTGAGCAGTCTCCTTTGGTAAATACCTCACGACAGTTGCAAAGCACAAGATGGGGCGTCCCACCCCAGATAAAGCACAATGAGCCACTGCAGGCCTGTGCAGTGCCTAATTCCTGACCAGGTCTGGACAGACATGTGAAAAAAGCTACACAGTATACCCTGAGAATAAGTGAGGAGCCTGAGCACCAGTGTGTTTCAAGTGATTGTCCTGAACCGTTTTGTTTGTTTTTGCTTTTAATAGATCTTTCTTTCTTTCTTTCTTTCTTTCTTTCTTTCTTTCTTTCTTTCTTTCTTTCTTCCTTTCTTTCTTCTTAAGACAGGGTTTCTCTGTGTTGCTTTGGAGCCTGTCCTGGAACTAGCTCTTGTAGAACAGGCTGATCTTGAACTCACAGAGATGCACCTGCTTCTGCCTCCCAAGTGCTGGGATTAAAGGTGTGCGCCACCACCGCCCGGCTTGTACGGGTGTTTTACCTACAGTTATCTCTATGCCCCATGCGTGTGCCTGGTGCCAGCAGAGGCCAGAAAAGACCATTGGAATCCCCAGGACCAGAATTACAGAAAGTTGCAGGCGGCTGTGTGGGTACTGGGACCCAAATCCCCGTCTTCTGTAAGAGCAAGAGGAGCTCTAACTGTTGAGATATCTCTCCAACCCTCTGTCCAGAAACTTCTGAGTGACTTCTCCGGGGCATAGCCTGTGGACATATTAGCAGTATTAATTAATTTCGAAAGCAAACCACCAAGTATGAACCGTTCTGCGGACTGTGGAGTTCAGCAGGAATGCACTTGCCTGGTATCGCTGAGGCCCGACATTCCGCCTACAGCTGCAAAAACAAAGAGACTCAATCTTGATCCTAGGTGAAAGGCGCAGAGGTACTGGTTTGCTCTGGTTTTGACTCTTCTGTAGATCTGATGCTTTCTACGTATAAACTGAAGAGAGGTCTACAAAGATCTCTTAGTAGACATTAACGTGATCGACTCTGGGTACAAAGGTTGGATTGTTCCTTCTCTCTTACTCTGCTGACTGAACTCGAACAGGTACCATTCTATTGTCATAATTATTTTTCCACAAAGAAAAAAACTTAAAAAGAGGAGCAGTCAAGAGCCCTGACTGCTCTTCCAGAGGACCTGGGTCTGGGTCCTAGCACCCACACATCAGCTCACAATCCTGGTACAAATATATGCAGGCAGGCAAAACACTCACAGACATAAAATAAAAATAAAGAAATCTTAGCCAGGTGTGTGTGTGGTCCATCCCTTTATTTCCAGCACTGCAGAAGTATACCAGATCTCTGTAGGTTCAAGGCCAGCCTGGTCTACACACTGTTACAGGACAGCCAGAGCTACACAGAGAGACCCTCTCTGAAAGGAAAGAAGAAAAAGAAGAGGAGGAGGAGGAGGGGCTGGAGAGATGACTCAGCAGTTAAGAGCATTGCCTGCTTTTCCAAAGGTCCTGAGTTCAATTCCCAGCAACCACATGGTGGCTCACAACCATCTGTAATGAGGTCTGGTGCCCTCTTCTGGCCTGCAGGTATACATGCAGACAGACTATTGTATACATAATAAATAAATAAATAAATATTAAAAAAATGTTTAAAAAAAGAAAAGGAGGAGGAGAACAGGAGTTGAAGTGGCTTAAGGTTCAGCTTCAGAGATGGCTCAGTGGTTAAGAGTGCTTGTTGCTTTCACATAATCTCTGGG